GTATTATGTGTACTACGGTTTGTTTTGTAGAACCTTAACTACCTTCTAGACTCGACTTTGAGTCTCTGAGTTGAGTTTGGACATCTTTTGTACAATTCCGAACTTTTTGCTAAAACTCTCCTACAATGGAGTTTCCACTGATTTTACAATGGCTCGACAAGTTTCTTTCATGTTTAACGTGTCTGTATGATTTATATGTGATGATCCTTCTTCAAAAAGGTTTTCAAACTAGTGATTGACTCAGAATTCCTTTTTAATAGGTCTAATTGATTATTTGCTGATTTTCCTTAAGTTAAAAACCTTTTCCATCTTTCTGACTTGTTTCATTCATACCAAATCTCAGATCTTGTGATTTCTTGGCTGTTAATTGATTTTCTTTCCTTAAATTGTACAACCGTGTAATCAGAGACCTTGTCCTTAAATAACCCTTATGTACTTACCCTCAATTGCATGCTTTACACAAGTGTTTGATTAATTTCTTTCCTTAATTGTGTTATACCCGTTTGAATTTGAATCCCTTAATTAAAGGGAGTCTTATGTGATTGATCTACAATCAGTCTTCAAATTCACACTCCCATACACCCTTATGTGTGTTGATTTTAAGTTATTCCCCTTTTCCCTTTCCCCTTTCAGAATTCCCTTCTGCACTTACACTCTCTCCTAGTTTCTAAGTTCTGCCCCTCTCTGGTGAGCCTTGCCTTGGGACCTTGAGTTCCCTTTGAACTTGGACACCTGAGGGCTGGCCCTTCCACACTGCACTATTGTCTTGATTTGGTAATGTATTTGGGGTGTAAGCACTGCCCGGAGTCCATGAGGCTCTTAGGGAACTCTGACACACCCCAAATGAGAGAAAGGCTTTTGAAATCTGACCTTTGGAGATGGTTTACTTCATACTTTAGACAGGAAGTCTGAATCAGGCTCTCCTTGGTTGTAATTTTCAATTTCTGATGTATTTTTTTCTTTATTCTCTTTAGGCTGTAATAAACTTTGTAATAAACTTTCGGGGATGTTTAGTGAAAAGGGAGGGTTAACTATGCATGAAAAGGGTAGATAACTTGCCTATATGAATCTCTAATTTCAGTAGTTCTCATATAGTTACCATGCCTATAAGACTTCTGCATTTTCATGTAGTTACTATAAGATTTCTGCACCTCATTTAGCTATCATGTCTATAAGAAACTCTGCATTCTCATTTAGATACCATGACTATAGGGATTTTGCACTTTCATGTAGATGTTATGTCTATAGCTTCTGCACACGCATGTAGAAAATATGCCTATAGGTCCCTTCTGATTCTTGCATACCCGCTTTTCACTAGGCAAACTTGTTTATAGATCCTAATAACCCAAAAAGTGTAACCAGATGCCACATTCATAATAAGATATCATGTTGTTGGTTTTCTGCATTTTTCATATCTTTAAAAGTGTTTAAAATCACCAACACGTAGAAAGTATGCCTATAGGAACTATCAACCAAGTCTGAAACGTTTCCACTCGCTCATGAGTCTAAAAACCAGTAATAATGCTTGCAGAACCTATAACTTTTGCTAAAGTTTGTCTTTATTTAATAATCAGGTAANGAAGGGATTGACGGACAACCATTCAGTCTTGTGCCAATGATCCTCGCAGAGATATACCGCGCCCTAGAAAGGTGTCAACAGAGAGCCAAACATTTCGAGGGTTGTAATCTTCTACTTCAACTGTGGCTCATGGAACATCTCCAAAAGGGTGAGTACCGACAGGAGATCTATCAAAGGGACTGGGACGATCATATCGCCTTTCATCACCCAAAGCGAATGAATTACATGCCCAACATGTTCGCCCAACCGGAGAATGCTAGAGAATGGGTCAAACTCTTTGATAATTTGACTGAAGACCGGGTACAATGGATGTTCGAGTGGTTCCCTACTGAAGAATTCATCGTTCGATCCAGGGATGCGCCATTTCTGATACTGATCGGTTTGAGGGGAACCTACCCTTATGTCCCTCTCCAAGTCATGAGACAGGCTGGTAGGAAGCAGGTTATACCAAGGGGCGACAAGACGAGTCATTTCCGGGCTGACTTCTAGGCTGACGACAGTCCGTACAGGTGCCAGGCTCAGCATATGTGGCACTGCAAAATTGTCTTGGGAAAGGACACCATCGAACCAGACCGATACCATGCCGGTTGTAACCCACACTATTCAAGCTGGCTGGAGGACAATCACAATGGTCTGGGTCAACCCGGGTTTGTTCGAGGTCACAGGATCATCAATGAAAAGACTGAAGCACAGGTCAAGTACAACCAACTACGCAAGAGGATTTGGGAATGTGAAAGTGAGCACCGTGAAATACAAGAAGCCAATCAAAAACTAATTGAAGAATGGAAGGATATGGCTGTCAGCGCCAACAAGCGATTGGTCTATTTGGAGCGAGGTATAGTAGAGTTGGAAAAGAAGTTTCTGAAGAGGGTCGAAGATTGCCGGACTGCTGAAGGAAATGAAGGCGGACATCTGGCCAGAGCTTACCTGCTACTAGGACTGCGCGATCTGGGAGAGCTGTTCGAGGGAGCCACCAATGCCGAGTCTGGGGAAGGTCCCTCTAGGATCAAATAGATAGGAATTTCCATTTCCGCTTTATAAGATGTAATAAGGCCAATGGCCACTAGTGATTTTTATTTTTCTTGTCATATAGTGTCGTTTTAGGATTCGTCTACCATTTATCAATGAAATGAGGCATTTAGCATTCTAAGTTCTCCAAATTAACTTGTCGCTAGGCCTACCTCGGGCACAACGAGGTCCATATTTCAAGCTCTAGGTGTTTAAATATTGCGACATTTTTCATATGATCCTTACTGACTTATCACTTTTTTTTTACTTTTTGTTTATTCCCCTCCCCAAAGGTTAGTTCGTAAACTCTAGCAACATCATCATATTTTACGAGATCCAGGGGCCCTCCACCTACTCCTCCTCCCAGTCCTGTCAGACAGAAAAACAAAGGAAAAATGGATGATTCGAACAACTCAGCTAAACGGGTAGAGGAAACTCATGGTGCTCTAGTCCCCAAGGAAAATGCATCTCAACTAAGACAAAAGTTACTGAAATTTCAAGAAGAACTTGATCAAGTCCGGAATTTGGCAAGTCTGTCATTTTCCCTCACCACTCCAGAAGTTACTTTTCCAAAAACTCAGAATCTCATACCTCCACAAAATATCCCAAAGCAACAAAATCATCCCGCTCCTCACCACCACTGCAATACTTGCCACATTCCCAACAATACGCCACTGCTCATCCCGAAACCTTTGAACTCCACAAATGACCACTGCCACACCCAACATAATACCCCCATCTACGTGGAGACTATGCCACACTCCACCCAGTCCATC